CTTTCAGTAAATCTGTGGACGGTCTGCCTCAGTGACACAGTGACTCCTGCGGTGCTTCCAGGATTGCTGTTAGTGAGGGATGCGCCTCTCCTCCAGTTGGTGCTGTACCTCTGGTATGGGGTTGTTGTCTGTGACATGTTAACATATTTGTGGCTTGAGAGTACAGTAGGAGGGTAAGAGGAGTCTACCTACACTTCCTCATTCTCCTCTCTGTGCAGTCGCTGCAATTAGAGCTGTGAGCTGACATGTGAAGAACACACAATTGGCAGTAGCAAATTGGCAGGGTATCAGAAATAGTTTCCATTCCACCTTGCAAAAATACACTTAGAGAGATTCAGAATAAAATGTAAACAATGTGGTAAGGACTTATGCATTGTCAGGCACGTCTATGTTGTGGAAAAGAAAAGAGCACACCCATCTTTAGCAAAGTATACATCTGACCACAAGGATCATGTAAGGTCAATTTTTCAGTTTTAGTTGCAGTATTTTCACCATTATTGTTATTGTTTTTATTGGCTATGATCTTGAATACCCCCTTCACGAACAATGTCCATTGTCCATTCCATTAGAAACCGAGATGTATGGAATGCACTGGTTCAAAAATTTTGGGTGCATATGCTTTTGAAGTGTCAGGATTTATACAGTGTGAGTGCACATTAAAATAATTTTGAGCAAAATATAAAGTATTTTCTTATGCTTTTTTTAAGTGAACTGATATTCTCTTTAAGGTTGAAGTGGCTTATTACCCTAACTTAACCTCTGTCATTTTCAGAGAGTAGCCAAATCCAGAAATTGACTGGAACCATAAAGGCTGTTCCAGAACAGTCCAGAACAAAAGAATGCAATTGATTCTCAGAACCAACCATGAAACGCAAGCCTGGGAATATTTCCAACTTAATTGTTATTGTTTTGACATCAGAGATGCAGAGTTGCAGATGCTGTGCTTGTGGAGCAATAGACAGTTACAGATTTTCAGATGGTGTCACTGCTGAGAAGGTCTTTAATGAGGTTACTGCAGCAAAGAAATACCGTGCCTACTTTTCTTAATGACTGCCATAATGTTTGCTGTCTTAAGACTGGCAACAGTGACTTAAAACCAAATAACCTCGACACTGGTTATTGTGCAACACTGTGCTTCAGGATTTTCATACGATTTTTTCAGCTTTCTAAGATAGTAGGGTATTTGTATCATTATTGTACCATAATTACATATTTTACATTGGAATTAATACATAAAAATAAGGTAATGTCTATACCTGATCTACAGAGCTCATTCTCAACCCAAAGCTTACTATGACTAAGCTCTCAATAAATATTTTCACTACCTTTAATTCTTATGTCTGCATGCATGTGAGTGTGCAAGACCCCTGCTGTGACATTAATGTGTTTATTAATGTCCTCTATCCATTTTTTTCCAAATACATTCACTGTTTAAAATTTTAATGTGGATAAATGTACAGACATCATCCCCGATTGCTACAGACTAATTCTTCCTGACAAGTTAAAAAGATGGTGGGCAGGCGGGGTGGGGGGTTGGGGGGGGTGCACTGTCATTTCAACGACTTGAAATTATTTTATTTCATGATGCTATAGATTATTTGACACACTGATGTTAGGTAATGTTTCGGGATGGATTTGGCCATCCATTCATTTGCTTTTCTAACTGCTTTTTCCAATACATGGGCACAAACACAGACACACACAAACCAATTTGCCTAAAGGCAATTAACCCACCAGTATATCTTTGGACTTTGACAGGACACTGGAGCCCCTGGTGGAAACCCTTGCGAACTCAGGGAGATCATACAAACTCCATACCACCACCACTTCAGAAGTTTAAACAGAGCCTCAAGTGATGCAGGGCAGCAAAGTTAACCTCTGCTCCATCATTCTGCCTAGCATGCATATATCATATGTTATATATGCAGATTTTTGCATACAAAAAATATGAATAACAGTTTAAGAATCACCGCAACATTTCAGAGATGTTGCCCTTTTATTTTGGTGGCTGACATTTGAGTGTCAAGGACTCTGTAGGTCAGTGACGCAATAGATGTGAAATACTCTTTAGAAAAGAAGACTAACTGCTGTACTTGAGTTTTGGAGTGACTGTGTATTTCTGAAAGGACAGAAATGTGACTCATGTGCATTTTTAAAACCATGATAAAAATGGATAAATAAATGAGTTGCTCCAAGAATTTCTTTTGATTGAACAATAGTAAGGGCTCGCTGACTGTTATCTGATACTGTTTGTGTTAGTACCATTACTGCCTGCATGGACTTTGCTGAATTACGCTAGCACAGAATGATACATTGGAAACAAAATTGCCACACTGGGATAGAAACAAGAATTTAAATTATGATTGCATGTGGGGATGATTCAGAAAAATGTATTTTATTAGAGAGAGTTCTATTTTTACTGCCATCATCTCCCATCAAACACAGACAGCATTAAGGACAAACAAACAATGCGGCCCACTTAATTAAGGTTTCCAATTATGGTGAACAGTTCGGAGCAGAAAAGAGCTTTTCTTTCGATTTTCAATTCAGGCCATTATTATTTCAATCCTATGTCTTAAGCTATCGCTTACAAAATCTTTATTTATGGCCACATCTTGGTACTGAAATGATTACAAATTATGCTTGGGCAGCTGCTCTCAAAAGCACTTGCATGAGTTGTTCCTCAGTCTTTTCTTTCTTCAGTGCATGTCATCATAGAGGCACCCCTGCTCTGTTTATAGTAAGATATCTTTTTGTCTTTTCCATGATGAACAGTAAAGAAAAAATATATAATATGGTATATTTGTATCTGCAAAAATAGCATAACAAACTGGCATTTTATATTTTGAGAAAATATCAATCGGGAAAATACTATTTTTTCTTTTTTCTTTTTTTAAATTTAAACCAAATTTTTGACTCAGCAACCTTAAATAAGTTTGCTTTCACAGCGTAGAGCATGTTGTGAAATCAATATCTTTTTAATTTCTAGACCTTTGTAAATATTTTTTATTATCATATAAGAAATATTCTATAGGCCATAACAAGTAAACAATGAAACACAATTAAATTACATCCTTCAGTGTGTAGATTTCAACTGAACTATTTAGCCTTTTTGTTTTTTAAATTGTACTTAGTACTGTATATGACCTGTAATTTTCTCCTGCTTTATATTCCTTCATCTATTTAATTATTTTAAGATCAAATATACTATTGTTGATGTTGAATAATGAAATTGGAGAAAAAAACAGCTACACCTCAGTAAACACCACATATCTTAGAATAATTCAAAATGGCAAGAAAGAGCATCCCTTACAGATGTTCTGCTTTTTTGAAATCCTTAAGGCATTTCTGAAGCACACCTTCAAAATATTGTGAAAATGAGCTGTGACATTTTGTGCTCTACCTTGGTGTTGCTGGAAGGGCAACAGTAACACCCCAATGTCCCTGTTGAAAACAAGGAACAGTCTAACATGATGATGATCCTCTGTGCTGGTCTAGTATTTTTTGTATAGGAAAACAAGGTGTAAAGTGTAATCCTCAGTAGCATACTCACTGGAGAAAGTATTTAGTCAAATGAAAAGACTTTCTCAGTGGCAAACAGTGCATGAGACAAACATCATATTCCTTGTCCAGAACAATGCACGGAGGTTATTCCTTTTGAAAATCAGAGAGAATGATGGACACAAAGATCAGTTCTGAACATCATTACCCTTCATCACAACTTCGAGTGCAGGTGATAGAGGTATAAGAATGGGATGGGTCTGATATGGACTACAGATATTGGCAAACCTTGTGAAACATGTCTCATCATGGTCAATATGCTCTAGCTACTTGTTTCCTTTAATGCACTCGCTGTAGATTATGAGGCTATGTTCTTCACATTGCTTCTAAAATCTCAAGAGCCAAAAATAGCTCAACCTTAGGGGTCATGTCTTCAGTAAATACAGTGTGATCAGTTCTCCAGGGAGATATGTTCAATATCCGGGACTGCATGTTTCTGGGTCTGGAACATTTGATTGCAGTCTACTGATATGCTTAAAATCAGTAAAAAATCTTACAATGATAGAACAGGCACTGCATCTGAATCTCTGAAAGTAACATTTAATTATTTTTGGGAAAATTGTTGAGTGTGAACACGTTTGTCTTAAAAAAAAACATTAAAACACCAAAATAATTTAAAATCTTGCATCATGAGATAGGACAGGAGAGAATTCAAACAAAATGTACTTTATTGAAAATGAATTGTGTCTGGATTGGCTGTATTAAGGGGACTGTAATTTTCCTGGATTAGTCCCCACACTGTTGTAAAAATGTCTTAAATAGTGGACCCCTGGGTCATTACAGCTGTCTGCTGGATGCTTAAGAAGTATCTAAACATTCGCCTTTGCTGCATTTACAGGATCGGTGAGGATGTCGCAAGAGCAACGGACAGTGGCTACGTGGGAAAGCATTTCCGTATGGGATTCATGACCATGCCAGTACCTCAGGATCGCCTGCCCCATCCCTGCGGGGCTGGTTTTTCTGTGAGGTCACAATCATTGCACTCGGTCGGGGGTGGGGATGAAGACAGCAATGTCAACTCACGCAAGCAGCCCCCTCCCAAACCGAAACGGGACCCCAGCACAAAGCTGAGCACCTCCTCCGAAACTGTTAATACAGGGACAACATGCAAAGCAGGGAAAGACCTGGACAGAAGTGATGGTAAGCAAGCGACCCATTTTTCAGGTGGAAGGTGCTTCTGGACTCCATGTTTGCATTGCCTTTAAGTCTGTTCCTGAGCTGAATACTTTTATACACTTGTCTACATGTCTTAGACTGTGTGCACAAGTGACACGCACTCATCTGTTGGTGACCCGGTTATTGACAGAATACCTCTGGGAAAGGAATGAGAGCCTGATTAGGAACATATGGGTTCCACAAACCGAGTGTTTTGAGGCTATCAGCTTCATTATACTGCAGGAACACAGTTATCTCGTGAGCAACAAAAGAAGGCTTTAATTAGCATAACATCTTGAATGCTGTTCAACTTCCACAGGTTTTTTTTTTCAGAAAGGATCATACAACAGCCTAAATTAAAATGGCAATGTGAAGTTTTTAGTGTAATACTGAAGTATGAAGACATTGGCAGAGGCAGGAGTTAAAACATGGTACTGTATATGATGATTTTGATTGAAGGATTTTAATGCCTGCACTGATCTTCCCTTTACCTCCCTCAATTTAACACTAATAATGATTATAATAGTTCCTTTCAGCCTTCACCCGAAGGGTTCCAAGGTGCTTTACTATTCACAGCAGGGAACCCATTTCATCCACCACTGAAGTGTAGCCCCGACGTGGGAGACACGCAGGAGCCATTATATATCAGCTGCTCCATTGCCCAAGATCAGGTGAACAAGTGAGAAATGACTTTACTAATTGAATGAAAGGGGAAATTCAGGAAGGCCAGATTGTGGAAGCCCAAAGTGGAATTTAATATGGATGCTGAGATTTACTGAGGGACATGTCATGGGATCATCAATGCTTAAATAGTCAGGAACATGATTTATCCTCATCTGAATGACAACACCTCCTACAGCACCGTCTTCCCTGTTAGTAAACTGAGGCTTTGGCTGTGCATTCTTGTACAGCCAAAGCAGAGTATCACCTACTTATGGCAGACCAGGTTTCACCTGGAGGTCTTCCATCCCAGTACCTACCAGGTCCTGCTTTGCGTAGTTTCCGTGATCTGTGATCTGTTGCGATGGGCTACAAGATGGTAAAGGTCCCATCAGGTGGTTATAGGGCTATAAAGTGGTAATCCTGACTCATTATAAATATCCCAACTTAATGAGACAGCATACTTATAATATAATGTGCATGCATCTCCCATTTTGCAGAAAAAAAAAACATCTAGCAACAGTGTTTTCTGTTATTTTAAATGATAAAATTCAATATGCACATAGTGTTAATGCAGATTAAGTGCATGTGGTTAAACCCCAGGTTCAGACTGTCACTACTGATGTACCTCCAGGTGTCCAAGCAGCAGAACACAAACATGTGCTATACCTGCTGTGTTGAAAGAGCAGTGCCCTGGTATGATGGATTAAAATATTCTTAACAAAGAAGGGGAATGATGCCAAAAGCCTTGCTTTGCTCTATGAGCCCTGTTGCACTGATCCCCTCTTAATTCCACAGGGACCATTGTGTTCTGCAGGCTGTTAAGCACTTATGTAGATCATGCCGTCAAACACTGGATGTGAACGAACATGACAGGCATACTTCTGAGCACTAAATAACAATCCAGCAATCAGTCTCCTGGAAAGGGAAATCTGAACACTCTCTACAACAAAGGGGATTGGTGTCGCCCACCAGGCTCATTGGACACCATGATGTTTAGAACTAGTGTTAGCTTTAATTGCTGGGTGGTGTCAGTATGGCGTGTTGGGAGAAACAAGTAGTCCTGGATCTCTCTAGTGGCCTCTCTTGTTGATTGAAGGTTTGGAGATCACCCTGAAGCCTTCCCATTGATTGTCTGGTCTCTGGCAGGGTGGTGGGCTGTGGGGTCCTGATTTCAAAAGGAGAGGCTATGTACGGAGAGCATGACCTCTATCATATTATACAAAAATATGATTGGTTTCCCTTTTGTTTTTGTTGTGGGTAGGGACACCAATATATCCTTGGAGGACCAATGTCACCTCAGAGGAATCCTGGTTCCCCCAGTTCTACTACAAGCACCAGGCATGATGAGGCCTGTTGCCGGGGTTAGAATTATAAAGTAACGCTGAACATCTTTTCCTGTAAGAATGACATCAAGGTTAATGAGACACACTAGCATCATCGTCTGTCTTGACACCTTAGTCAAAGTTTTAAAGATTCTTTTGGCTTGAATGTCCTTTGGTGCTTTTGTTCTGGTGCTTATTTGAATTTCAAGTTAGTTCATTATCATGTTAACTGATTCAGTTTCACCCTTGTGCATCAAGGTGAATTTTATGGAAACTAATATTAATAAGCATTTATTTTTACATGAACATACTTTACTGCACTAATGTACTGTATTGTTTTGGAAAAACATATCAATGTGTCAGTTCTTAAAGTATAGAATTCTGTGCATTCCTTTTTAGAATTTGAAGTACAGGCTTTGGTAGAAAATGGGAATGAAAATCCATCTTAAATATTCAGCCAGTATTTGCTCATATCTGTTCACAGATCCACTTTTGTGATGCTGGGAAAACTATATCATTTTAGAGGCACAGATGACATTTGAGTAAAGCACTGAGACTGAAAAAAACACATTATGTCTCCCATTCCCAGCTTCAAGAGATTCAACCATTTAAATTATTTTGAGTTAATAGAACAATAGTGCCAATATGTGCTATTGTATGTCCATTTCTGTTTATAACACAGATATCTATATTAATAAGATATACAGTACTCATATAGTCTAAACTGCATTACAGATAGAAGTCAATGATACTTGGGTTGAACCTTATCATCCACCATTTTAGTAGCTTAACAGTGTTTTTCTGCTTCAGGCTCCTGCTGATTTTAAATATACATATATAATATGCATCAATACTGCACATATACATATAAAGTAATCTCATTATTGCTGTAATTGTGTTTTTAGCAATAAAGAATGATTCTACAAACTTACATTTATCATCATGGTTTTGGCAAGCTCGTGGCTAAGCGCTGATATGTATGAAGTACAAATCATATCTTAATGTGCAGATTTCAAATGGCAGACTTTTGAGCATACCAATGTTTTGTGTTATCAAAAATAAGAAATATGTCTTATTTATAAGTAAAACCTGTAACATTTCATGGTATATGAAGCCATGAAGCCATAATTGGTAACGTAGAGTATGGATTTGGACCAGAAAGCTCACCAGACACTTAGTCACAGCAGCTTAAAAGAAGCTGACTTCCCATATTTTCTTTGATTTATTGGATGGCTGCTGCTTTTAATTTATGTCACAGTTATCACCAAGGGTCAGTGCACATTGCCTTTAAGTGAAACTGACATATATTATTTTGTTCTAAATCCTTCAAGTGAAGGGTAATGCAGGACTGTATGGCTTCCATGGCTGGATGAAGACCTCATACATCCTTCTCACTCTTGTTTATTTTTGCCGTTGCCTCGTCATTATTAACCTTGTAATGGAAGTTTCAAACAGACGTAAATTAAGGTTTTGTATTGTATGTTTTCATCATGACAATAACATCACAAAGACAGTTAACAATTTAACTTGGAAAATATTTTTAATATTTTATGAAATGTGGATCTTTGTAGTTATCAAGTTAAAGATTTTAGATACTGTGAAAACATTTCAAAATTACCAACTGACTCGTAAGCAAAGAGACAGGATTACCCCCACATGCTTGCTGACTTGTCTTCCCCAGTCTTGTTAATGTACAGCATCAGAATAGAACATTAAGTGACACATTTTAAAGAGAAGGACTTAGAATGTAACTTGAAGAGGATAATCACATGAGGTTCAATGTTGAACATTCCACTTAACCCTAACATTAATCCCAACCCACCTAATTGAGCAGATGTTTGTAAGGGTAATATTCATTTGTCCTAAAACCTTCAGAGTCTGGACCAACACATACTTTAGAATTGCCTGGGTTTGACATAAAATGCAGTGTTTTATGACATGTTTTCAAATGTTGAAAAATAGTTTGACGGCAGTATTGTTATATACAGTAGTTTCTTTCCCATCTTTTATCATGAAGGGACAAAGTAATGTTCTGTGTGCAAAGATTATGCTTTGCTTTTACACATTTTGTTGTTCTGTAAGTATTACGTCTGATCTTTGGTACAATATATATTTGAATGTTTTGGAGAGGTGAAGCATTTGGCTTTGATATAAATAAGTTTCAAGCCATTTTTCTTTTACTATGCTGACTTAAAATAGTGTGCACTAAAGACACTAAAGCTGTGATGGGAATTAGTTCATTTTGCTAGAAGTCAGATTGTATGACACTTTCTCTGTCAGATACATATATTAATCATATGACATTTTAATTATTATGTTTATTTTAATGCAATGCTTGGAGGCAGTCTTAGCTCTCATCTATTTATCTCTCAGAGTAATGGTGCTTAACTTCAGGAACAAAATTACTGAGACAGTGGTCAACAATGCTTTTATAACAAGTGTGCTGAGGAGTATTGTTCCAGCTTTCCAAATTCTACTGAATATTCAGTCTTCCTTATATGAACCTTGAGTGCATTCTATAGGACTTGGTATTGCTTGAAAGGGTTTATTGTTTGTATCTGCTTATTAAACATGGAAAAACATTGAATTTAAACATGTGAATACTTTTGTGTATCTGTTTTTGAATTTACAAAATGATGCATTTTACTTGATAATGATTTTACTCCATAATCTTTACTTTAAATCGTTTATGTGGGAGGGTGAGTACTTCTATCCTTGCATGCAAACTCCAGCATTTCAGATTTTATGTTTCAATCCTCAGATTAAACCACACCGTACAATTTTCTTACAGCTATGTATAGTAGTTTGTACATTGTGAACACTGACTCTTATTTATCTCCCCCACAAAAAAAAAAGTATTTTTCACTTGAGCTCAGTGACAAAAGATGTCAGTTTGACACACACTATGAAATGAGACTAAAAACTGCAAAGAATTGCACCTGCAGTGGAAGTGTCCTCAAATAGTCCAGTTTCTGCATTTGCACAGTCTAATTATCTCAAACTTAACTGCCTAACTGTCTATTTCTGAGGTGTACGCCAAGTATGAGGCAGAACTATGCCTTTTGCTCAAGAAATGAGTTCAAATTCTTTACAATTCACTTCATGGAAATCCAGAAATTACGTATTGTCAATTTCTGAAGTGCCACCATGTGAATGGGGAGCTGAAACATTTCTCCAGTAGCAAGGGGGACTTAGCCTTTTGGCAAGAGATTTCAAGAACAGGAGAGGTGACTTCACCCATTCAAGGTTTCCAGATGTCTCAATGCTTTTATTTAATGAGCTATTTGCATCTGTTGAATAATTCATATTAGGCTACAGCCACTTTAATGCCACCATAGTTTAAGGCTAATAGATATGGCAGAAAGTGAGCCATCTGAATTTGGAAAAGGTCATGAAAAGTGCTTAGTTTTTAAAACAACAATAAGGCATATGACATTTTTGCTACAGAAATCATAATAGAATATGTCTTGCATGTTGATAGATATATTTGTATATTTTATAAATTACTTATACAGTTTTACTTATCATATGTAATAGTTAAGTAGTGCAAGCATTTATCAGGGATTAAATACAATTGAACAGATACATTTCTTATTCAAAGAAAACATCTACTGTATATTCAATACTTAATTAGAAAACAGTATCTGATAGTTCCCAAAGCTGTGCTATCATTAACTCTAGTCACTATCATAGACAGCAAAAGTTTACAGTCTATATAAAGTTATCGGATGTGGTAAAAGTAACATATTTGAAACAGTGTAAAACAAGAAAAATCACAGTGGAAAATTACATCAAAGTAGTAAAAATTCATCTGAGAGAAGCATAAAAAAATCTGCATTAATGAGCACATTTCAAACCTTAATAAGTGTAAAATATACACAGTAACTTGTAAAACCACCACCACAATTTACCTGACAAAACAGACTAAATTTCCAGATATGTTCGGTGCCATATTCTATGATTCAGAACAAGGCAACAAAACTTCTGGTGATGTGAAGCAGCCCTATTACATTGTAAAAAAGCAGGCTTGTGAATACTGTACATCTCTTTTAATTCAGTAAAATATATTGCTCTTGAGTTCAAGACAGTTTTGCAGATTAAAGGAACTTACTTGTTAACTCTCCACTCAGATCACATTGGAAACTTTCTGCTGTAAAATATCTTGCAAAACCTGTGCTCAATTCACTTCTACATCGCATTAAATTAGTCATTACAGTGACTAATGAGCGGGAAGGGCAGCATCACATCACAATTCGTGGGAACTCTTGCTCTCGCCCTTGGTGAGACCAGGGGTTTGAGATGAAAGGAAACTTGCAGTACTTTCACAAATATTCACGATTTTGTGCTTAATTCGTAATTTGTCATTTTTTTCTATTCCGTCAATGAATTTATTTTGTTACTGAAATTTAATAACTGCCCTGTAAAATTGGGACTGCAGTTTCCCTTTAATGCTCCAACCATTCTAAATAAACTTAAACAGCTAAAATAGCAATACAGTGGGTACCGTTAGTGTTTACTCTAGGGCACAGTTCTTGGTTCTCTTTTCTAATAATTTTGTGTTTTCGTCTCTATCACTGTCTGTCCTCTGTCCTCACCTTGACTGCTTCTGACGTAATTTGATTGCCAGCAGGACAAAACCCTGCTAAAACACAGTAACACTGGCTGTTTTCCTGCAGTTGGGATCTGTGGTGTGTAATTAGCTTTAAATCTGCTTTTAAAAAAGATTAATAAAGAGGGTTGATGTGAATTGTATAGATTGTATAGGAGAATACTTTGGGGTTTAAGCATCAGATGAGTCATTTTGGTTTTCTGTGTGCAAAAGCTACCAAATTTCACCCACTATAGCCTGACCGTCACAAATGAAAAACACTCTTGCACAATAAATTAACCAGCCACATACAGAATCATTGCTTTGAAATTTGAGATATAAATGTGTCATCCCGCATTAAAACTGACACCTCTGTACAGGAGGGTTAGAAAACATGTCCAGAAAGGAAAACAGCATAAATATGGAGTACAAGGTTCATTTTAAATGCAAAATTGATGTTCTGTTTGTAGTTAATCCAGTGTGGGAGTTGAAACCAATCACTGCAAGAACAACATTTTTTTTTTACGTACAGTATGTCTGTGCATAATGTTTTTTAAGGTTTATTAATGAATTGTTCCCCTGGCATTTCCTTGCACTGTCAGTATTTTCTGCGAGAACGAGAAAGTAAAGCAGGCTGTTGCACCAGATATTTTCACCCCTGACTGAGCAGCAACTCCCATCTGGACAGACGGGATAACAGAAAACTAAAGATTAATGAAAACATTTGCCTTTCGTGCTCTTGCAGTGGAAAAATGAAGAAGTAATCCTATAACAATGAGTTGCTGCATTAAAGATACTTTTGCTGTTTGAACAAAAGCACAGTTTGTGGCCTTGAGGTGCAACCTAGCTTTAAATGATTTTATTAAAAACACAAGTATTAGGATACCCAGTGCCATCATGTTAGAAACTAAGAAAAAAAAGAGTTTGATCTGTTTTCAAGACTGTAAAAGGATCAAATACAAAATCACCTTTAATTCTTGGATTACATTTGTGGTAATTGTTTAGTATAGCAAAATATTACTTATTGCAGCCAAAATTTAAATGTACCATCTCAGCAACTCTGAATCTCTTGAGATGGAAGCTTCAACAGCCCGACCAATCAGGTGTGAAAAAAAAATCTGTGTTGCTTTGCTCTTCATTGAGAGGATGTAGCATATATTCATGTGGCAAATGTGTGCTAAAAATTTTATTAAATCACAACTCTTCTGAGCACAGAGGCTCGATTAGTCAAGGCAAATTCATTCATAAGTGAGAGTGACCTAGTTTCCAGTCCCCTCAAGAAACAGTGTGTAGGCATGCCTACAACACATTTAATCACAGTGAAATCGATCCTGAGAAATAGATAGATATGCCATGTGGCATTTTTAACTATCCCCATGCTAACAGTGTTGTGGTTCTCCACTGTATTGTGAAAGAAGATTTGTCCTTGAGATGTATATTTGAAGTGTTTTGGGTAAACAATTGCGACAGTTTTATCAGCAATTTTTTGTGTCATGCTTTTCTGAGAAGTGGAAAGCTTCTGCAGCAACAAAGATTATAGCACTAAGTGTGAAAAGAGGGAACATGGAAAAGAAGCCCCAGTGAGTCATGCCAGATATTTTGGAATTTAAACAGACAGCAGGTGAAAAGTGGTGTTATGAAGCAAGCAGTATGAAGAGGGATTTCCATACGAGTGCAAAACTGCTTAAGAGGAAAAGTAGTAAGTTGCATGGGTGATGGTATAAAAGGGCAGGGGGTAACATATTTAAAGCAGCAAAATATTTTGATTAATAGCTTCAGATTTAACATTTGTATATGACTGGGACTCAATTACATTTTATCCATCCTGTCTATGATTACCTTGCTTCCACTGATTAAATTTGTTTAGAATGTAATTGGTTTAACTGAAGAAATGGATTCAGAGAAGAGCACTTTCTCAATGTCCCTTTGGTATCTGTTCAGTTCCTATAGTCATCCCACAAGCCAGCCAAGGAGTCACTGGATGCCATCACTGGTCCTGGAGAGCCCTTACCTTTTTTGGTTTCATAGGTGTCTTCAGCAGGCTGAAGGTCAAATGAAGATTGACTAAAAAAACTAGCCATTATTTTAATTACATAATTCAGAATATGGTTAGAATGACAACACAAAAACTCTTTGACTCTATAGAAATGAAGAGGAAAATTGCTACCCTATGCAGTTTAATGCCAAACAACAGACACATAAAGACTAGGACGAGGATATTTATAAGCATTTATTTGATTCGTTTTCCACTTCATTGAGTAATAACTGTGTAAATAGATCATTTCTACCATTATCAGTTAGAAAATATTTTCTTTAATTCAAAATTAAGCTTTCATAAACCAATAAAAACTTGGTCTTACTATATGTTCATCTTTCTTCTCTTCATTCTGCAGTGTCATCAAAACCAAGGCCATACAGTGAGGAATACAAAAAAATACCACCTCCCAAACCTAAACGGAACCCGAACACTCAGTTAAGCACGTCTTTCGATGAGTCCTACATCAGGAATCATGGTACCAGAAAGTCGGCGAAGAAGGAAACCTCTTCCTCCCAGACACACAGCCCAGCCAGAGACACGGATGAGGATGAGCCTGTTTACATCGAAATGGTGGGAAATATATTACGGGACTTCAGGAGAGATGACGAGGACCAAAGCGAAGCAGTCTACGAGGAAATGAAGTATCCGATATTTGACGATCTTGGCCAGGACTCCAAGTGGTCCAGTATTTATAACTCTGATCACATTAGCTGCTCTTCTCAGTGTGCTACTCCCACAGTGCCTGACTTGGAACTCGCCAAGCCCCCCGTGCCATCCACTCCAAAGGGCACGCTGTGCGATATCCCAGCTCCGTTTCCGAATCTTCTCTCACACAGGCCACCACTCCTGGTGTTTCCGCCTGCCCCGGCGCAGTGCTCCCCCAATTCCGATGAGTCGCCCCTCACCCCCCTCGAAGTCACCAAACTGCCCGTTTTAGAAAACGTGTCCTACATCAAGCAGTCAGGAGCTTCTCCGTCTGCTGCCTCTTCTCAGACCTCCATACACCAGAAAATAGAGAAAGAGCTGCCTCCTACGCAAACTATTACAGCCTCTGGGCGGTCTTCAGCCCCCCCACTTCCCTCCACATTGTACAAGTCGTCGGCCTCTGCCCACGGATACCCCAGGAGCCACTCTGCCTGCCCTTCGCCGGTCAGCATGGGGAGGTCTCTGACTCCCTTAAGCCTCAAGAGACCTCCACCCTATGACTCGTTAATTTCAGGGAGTATCCCAAGAAGCTCATCTTCAGTGCCTCACTCACTAATCAAGAACACTTCTCAAGAAGGGGCTAAGCTGGCAAATTCCTCCTCCAGTACCCATGGGTCCATGCAAAATGTCTCCCGTTCACGGACGCCCACAAGCCCCTTAGACGAACTTACAAGCCTTTTTACCTCAGGACGGAGTCTCCTGAGGAAATCTTCCAGTGGCAGGAAATCCAAGGAGCCAGCAGAAAGTGAGTTTCCAGTATGCAGTGTGATCACAATTGTCTGGTATTTTAAACTAAATACCCAGGGACATTAATGTTGCTTTCCACAACAGCAAGGGGAGTTCGCCTTTGAAATTGACCTTCACTCCTAAGTAGATTTCATTGGCAAAGCAGGTAGTAAAGCAATTGAAATGCACTGTAGTGTTTTATAGGACTCATAACTTTTTCAATTCTGTGTCTCTGCAAGGACCCTTTAATCAAGTTTTAGGAGTATATGCTGTTGGCAGTCTTCAGGTACCATTCATCAAACACACTACAAATAAATTCACCTGTAAAAGCTGGATGATATATACAACACATAAAAGCCTACAAATTAATTTGATCATATAGCTTGCCTATAATTATTAATAATAATTTCAGGTGCAACCTGAAATTTATTGATAAATATTAATAGGGTGTTTGTTTAATCCTTGAATGTTGTGATAGTTCAAGACATTATTTTGCTAGTCCAATCAAGCCTATTACCTCTATAGGAAAGTAATAGGGCTGAAAAATGACACTTAATTATTGATGGAAATGTTACTTAAATATAATGTACAAACACAGGTGGCACAGTGGTCAGAACTGCTGTCTTTTGAGATTGTGTGTTCTTCATGTGTTCCCGTGGGTATCTTTTGAGTGCTTCAGGTTCCTCCAAAAGTCCAAAAACATACTGGAAGTTTAATAGGCTTCTGGGAAAATTGACTGGAGTTCCATCCAGGGTGTATCCTGCTTTGTGCCCATTACTTGCTGGAATAAAAGTTGACTCCCTTGCGAACCAGTATTGGATAAAGTGGTTAGAAAATGGTTGGATGGATAAAGTCGAAATTCAAGTGTGTATGGGTCTGGCAGAGTTAAACCTAAGATTTATCCATTTATCTGAAGTGAACTAGATTCATAGAGTGAAAAGGAGATAAAGCAGTGCTTACAAAGCAAGCAAGTGCTGTTTAAAATGGCATGTGTAACAAGAAGGTTCTTTCCATATTCCTTTTGGAAATCAGCCTTTTATGAATTAATCCACAATACAGATCTTCTCTAACACATTGGCTTTCAGGAATAAATCATTCCAAAGTATATTATCCAATTAAATATGCCTGTGGAGAAAGCAATTTTGAAATACATTTTCTTACTGTGATTGTGTTTCATAGTGCATCTGCACTATGATGCAAAGAATATCCGCTTAATGTAATTGCCATATTAAAACAAGGTTTAGAATGAAAGCTCAAAGACATGAATACATGCACTCTTCCTTTGCACACCGAATGTGACAAGATCTGCAGTCCCAGAACACTGAGCAAGTGGTTCTATGAGTACTGCTATAATCTCATACAACAGGTTTAATTTTAACTTAATTTGGGGTTTAGATACTTCAGTGGAGGCCATCACCAAACTGACAGGACTGTAAAAATAGTCCTGTTTGAGTAGAAAGCGAACACAGATCGGGATGTGTACAACACTTGAACTGAAAGAAAAATTGCTCATGCACCAGCAGCAATTAAGTTACAGTGGAACAGATCTTTATTTTATGCATGATAGTGAGACACTTAGCACTGCCTTCATTTCTTTAATTTAAGTAGGCTTTAAAATTGCCAGAATGAAAGTGGTGTTTTAATGAAAATGTAGTTGAGGAAAACCCTTTGCTGGCGACATCAGTAGAGAGATCCAGCACTTAACCAGATTACTTGATGAACATGTAAAACAGGCTGACCTTCGCTTCAGGGGAAAATACCTTCAATCTCAATCAAATGGCAGGATTAGCTGATGCTTCATCATCCTACTTATACAGAAACTGCATTGCAAACACTGGCTATGGTATTGTAGTATGTTAATTCTGTATGTCAATGCACTGCATACTATCCTGTGCAGTACACCAAGCACAGTGCCTTGCATTCTTGAAGTGGGCTCTGAAAGAGGTGAAGTACACTGTTTTAAATTGAGACCTGCCACTGATGCATTAGCCTTGCGTTTTGTGGGTCCCTCTTGACATATACTCCCATAAGAAACAATCGACCTTATAATTACACAGCCACACTATGTTGCCCTCAGAATTCATTGAAGATAAAATGCTCCCTTGTTCTCTACTTATCTGCTGTACAATCGTATAATGTACTGTACGTGACCTGTTCTTAAAATGCATTTTCTAGTAGAACAATTAAACTGAAATGTACCTTGTTGTCCTTTCAGTCTGCCCTCTGTACATTATTCAGCTTAACCTCTTCTGGTCACACATGACAGCACATAAATTAACTGGGACTGGATGAGAGCTGTGCAGTGTTTATGAGCTGTGTAAAGACCTCCAGGACCATAAGACTAGAGCTGGCCAAGTAAATGGTAATCTGTACCTGCCGGTCTTGCAAACTACCAACCTATATTGTCTGCTCGAAGGATTTTATATAGGGACATTCACTAATGATAGACTTTACTGCAGCATCCTAGTGTTACGGTACATACTAATGGAATCATTGATCCATCCATTTTCTAACAGTTTTCTTCCAATTCAGGGTGGTGGTGTTGGCGCCTAGCCTAGCAGGCAACAGGTGTGAGGCAGGGTACACCCTGGATGAGACGCCAGTCCATCACAGAGCAGAGAGGCACAAACACAGACACATATGAACCAGGGTTCTCAGAAGCCAATCAATCTACCATTATAACTTTGCACTGTGGGAGGAAACTGGAGCCCCTGGCAAAAACCCACATGAACACAGAGAGAACATACAGACTCCACACATATAGCACCTGCAATGCTAACCACTGCACCACCATGCTGCCCCTAAGGGAAACATTTAATCTACTATTTAATTGGACCAAATGAATCAACAATGGTTTGGTTCTCACTGGTTTCAGAGTCAATACTGAATACTGTGACTTAAAGTGGAATGTTTATTTTTAATCCTTCAAAACAAATTCTGACAACAGAGAATAATTTTAGAGCTATTTATGAACAGTGTGGCCTACAAAACACAAATAAATCTCATGGTTGCTGTGCAGATCTTTCTCATTTGCTGTTTGTTCACCATTTACAAGTCCAAAGCACATCAGACATCGCAAGATCCTGTTTTATCTCCCTTTGTTTTTCTTATCTTATATGTTTCTTTGAGCTTTTGGTCATTCTATCTGAGTCTCAAGACAATTGTGATTAGATTGTCCTGAGTGATGACATCACCCATGTTCCTCTCAGGTATCCTGCCCAACCCACACCCCCATCTGTCAGACTGCATTAACGTACAAACCCATCAGGAAGCAGAATTAATGTGCACTCAAGCTTGCTGTGACAGAATGTCTTCCATGCCTGTTACTCAGAATGATTGCTTTGGTCATGGCAAAATTACATAGAAGCCAGCTGCTTCATGCAAGTAGGCAAAATTGATTCATCTAGCATGTTCCACTTGATTTATGTCCATGATGGCATATCTCACCTTCTATAGATTGTGTTTATGTGACAATATAAAACTGTTTAACCACCCAGGGACATCAATATATAAATACCCCAGATCATTGATAATACTGTTCAGGGACAAACTGATCAATATCACATAGAAGATACACCAGCAGGATACTTTATTGCAAGAAGAATTGGGTAGACCTATAGTTGTTCTAAAATTGATATCCCCTTTAGAAGAGTGTTCAGATTCTACACATGAACCATTGAGAGAAAGAAGACCCAGATACAAAAACAAAATAAAACAGGTGATATCCTCAAACAAGACAAAGGAAAAAAAAGCTTCTCCTCCAGTTTCTACAGAGGCAAGGGGTGGAGGATGCTTGGCATATTAAACAAACTGCTTTGAATAATTATGGGTTGCATTTGATATGGATCGCAGTTTTAAGTAGCTTTATCAAACACAAAAAAAAACTCAATCTCTCTATAAATGATGTAATGAATAATAAATGTGTTAGTTCTGAGTCCTTAACTGGTTTTGAGAACATATAAATATTACACAAATAATTATTTGATGAGGTTCTTCAACGGAAAATCAAGTCTATCCTAGGGCTTATCTTTTGTTTCTTGTTATTTACCTGCTGTACATCTTACCTAGTCAACAATTCAACAGTCTTCTTGTACAACCCTAACCATACACAAATCTCCACAGCAGACACTGATATTAAAACTAAAACATTAGTAACCATCCGCTTGTGACAATGACAAAAAGGGAGGTGGCTTACCTTTTTAAAAAAGCAATGATCTGAATCTGGTAAATAGTGTTTTGTGCTCTTGCAATGTATTTTATAATGTATTGGTGAACTGGCTAATGTTCCTCTGGTACTACTGAATGCCTTTTTACAGCAAAATAGATTTCTGTTTCAGCAGTAGTGTTGTTAGGCGGATTCCTGATACTGACCAATAAGGTTTTGCTTCTCCTTGGCGTGTCTTTCTGATTGGGTGTTGTCTTGGCTCTTGTACGTCTGGGTATCTCTGGCTGTGCTCTTTGATTGGCCTGGATACAGCACCTTGTGCACACTTTCATCTGCAATAAAAAAGCTTACTGCTTTCACCTACAGATTAAAGAGCATAGGACCCGAGAGATCAGGGTAGTATCCTTGACCTATTTATAAAGCACAACCTTAGTGATCGCTGGTCTTGCCACAAAACATTAGAAAATGAAACATAAGACTATACAACACTGCACAGTAAATGCAACACAATCAGCAGTATAAGCATGCAGTGTATCTTCAGGGATGCTAGCAGCTTATTTATAATTTGTCTAGTGCTATTATTCTCCTGATAAATCACTGTCATTTAGAATAGATACAACTGGATTGTGTTCTGTTGTCTTTCATTAATGATATAAAAGCATTTTAATTAAATTGAGGGCAAGGCAAACAGAATTCAAAAGGTTATTTTATTACCCTTAGAATTATAACAAGAGCGTGCATTATCAGGGAATCTGTATGTTCAACAAAACAAATACCAATAATGACAATTAAAAATGAAACATGAAAAAAGTATACTCAGCTACACCAAACACAGCTTGTATATGTCATGGTAT